GTCTAGACTGGGGATCAAACTTGCACAAAAGCAGCTGTGGCCAGCCTTTAACCTGTTGCACCACCAAGATTGATGCAATTGTATATATAAAACTTCTCATAGGTGTAGTCATCAAAAGCAATCATTTTGATCATCGCCCCTTTTGCTGCTAGTAAATTTGTTCAGTGTCCATTCTTGAAAATCTGGATAATTAGATAGCTTGTTAAACAGTAACAGGAGGCATGTTGAGACCAACAGAGCAATTAAGAGACAGAGTGAGTTTCTCCCCTTTGATTAGACCTGTGCACAAAGTATGTCTTCTCGCACTGTGATTTTTGTATTCCGCATCGTTTTGTGAGGACATTGGGGCTGGACTGCATGTGCCTCAATGTGCAGTGCTCCGAGAGGCTTTGATCTGGGAATTGAGCTTGTTGGAGAGGGAGACTCCCACGGAAGCTGTTGAGAAAGAGATGGGAGGACCCTGGCCCTGGCCATGTGGGTGTCCACGCAGGCTGGATTTGCTGTGCCAGCATCTGGGCAATTGTAGGGGGTTGTTGTAAATGAGGTTTCCTTTGGAGGAGCAAGAGAACCCCGCAACAGGGGCTTCTGGGAGTGTGACTCATCTTCAGGGTTCCCCATGTGGGCGCCATCTAGAAACACCCTGCAGGGCTCAACAGTGGATCTTTCCTGGGAGATAAGTTCCCACTGATTCCTGGGAATCACTATACAGAGGATTTTAACAGCTGCCTCTTTGGCCTGTGGGCACATGTTCTGAGCTCACCTGTGTCTTTGAAGTGTAGATGCTGTTCCACAGATCGATCGCTGCCCAAGAGAAGGCCTTCAATCTGTCAGTCTGTCAGGCTCTGTCAACCTTTGGGAAAACTCCCAGGAGATCTAACTATCCCTCGCTTTAAAATGTAGTCTGAAAAGACGTGATTTAGAAAGGGATCTCTTCTCATGCTATCTCCTTTCAGCGGTGCTATTTGATACCTGGAGGGATCAGACTCTTTTCGGTAGGAGCAGGGGCCCGTCACTTGTGGGCATCTAGACCTCGAAAGTGCTGGTGAGGTGAATACTGTCTAAACTCACTTTAGTGGCATTATAGAAACATTAGTAGATAGCTCAAGAAGTGCTTGATATTTGGATCGGAGTGTATGTATCAGATTGCAAATGTCTTGTGAGTAGAGTAATTCAGTCACTGTGTGTGACTATAAAAATTTCAGGGAAAAAAAGCTATTAATACCCTGCTTTAAAATATCACAAAAATTGATCTGATAGGTAGATTTCATAGATGCATAAATTATAGGCCCGAAGGTAGACGGTGAGTGCAAAGAGCGCCAGGAATACATGGCTTAGATTTCTTTCCCCTCTCACAGCAGGAGTTCATGGTGTTCAGAGCTGGGACGCTAAAGGACAAGATTGCCCCCCATTTCCAGTGCATAGAACCCTCATGGCCTTGCCCTGCCCCCCTCCTGCCTGCCTGCCTTCCTGTTTTGTTTTCAGCTGTTGTGGCACTGAGCAGGGAGGAAGACTGTTTATACGATCATGTCCTTTGTCCTGATTCAGTGTACTCTCCCTGTGAAATTTTCATTACTCATCCACCCCAAAAAAGCAGCTTTGTTTCTGGACGGTGCTGTGAAACCTAGTTAGGACTGCAGTTGGAGGTTGTGGGGCGTTGCTATCGGTCCTGATCCTGGACCTGTCGGCATCCTGACGGTTGGGAATATTCCAGAAGACATTAGGCATCTCCTCAAAGGAACAGTTTTCTGGAGAAACAAGATGACTAACCACTTTGGTGAGCTTCTTCTTGGCTTCGGCATTCATCTTCCCTACTGCCCACATTGATTTTTCTGTTCTTTTGAGTTCCTACAAATCCCCTCTTTTAACTTTCTGCCATACTTAATTGGGGTCACCCATGGTCAGCTGTAACTCTTTGTTCAAAAGTCCTGAAACCAGCACATTGCCATCTCCGTATATAGCTAAAAAAGCAGTATGCCCCATTCATGGGCAGAAAGGCAGCTGCTGGCGGATGCAGTAGAGGACACCCGGCTCGCGGCTGAGTAGAGAAAGCCAAGGAAGAAAGCACACTCACCCACAGACGCTCCTTTGACCAGGTTCCCTTCGAGGGCCGCTGTCGGTCAATAGGCAACTCTCTTCCTCAGCTTCTCAGAACAGCTGTATCCAGGCTCATGGGGCAGCTGGAGGGCAGCGTCTCCAGAGCGCCCCTTACCCAAAGGTGGGACCCAGGGGTGTCTCTGATTCTGTGATTTTTTTTTTTTTTTTTAAGATTTATGTATGCATTCTGAACTGGGGTACAGGCTCTCTGAGAGGATTCACCAGAGACAGAGTGGGGGGCAGAACAGGCAGATTGATGAAGTACATTGCTGAGGGGAGCAGCGGGCGGGTCAGGCAAGGCCTGCCGCGCCATGTGGGTCATCTCCGGGGCTGGGATCAAATTCACACGAGCGGCTGTGACCAGCTTGCAGTGTTGCACGTCAACCCACCGCACCACCACGTCAACCCACCGCACCACCAGGCAAAATCACCACCATCTGTGATTTTGAGTACAGGATGGGATCCAGGCACTGGAACTGCTTCAGTGCTTCCCGCGGCTGTGATGGCCACAGCCAAATGCGGCCTGCTAGGAAATCTTGCCAAACAGGGGCAGCGCCTCTCGGGAACTGAAGCAGCATCTAGGGCCTGAGTCAGCACGTTCCCTCCCTTTGCTACCCTCAAAGCATTGTGATGGACATTCCAGTGGGCATTCTTGTCACCCACTTGAGTGCAGGCCATAGTGATAGCTAGTGATGAAGACAGACTCCTTTGAACTAGAGATCCAGGGTGCTTGTTTGAGAAGGAGCACCTCAGCTCATCAAACCTGTGGTTTCTCCAGTGCCTCCCTCCCCCATACACATTGCCCCTGCTCCCTCAACACATAGGCCCCACAAGTACAATCCATACTTGGCTTGGGGGCCCTCCCTGGTGGCGCAGTGGGTTAAAGCACCACACGGTGAAGCTATTTGCAGCCACTGCAGCACCAGTTTTTAATCCCTGGCCAGCGAGGTGACCCACTTGGTGCAGCAGACTTTCTGTGTCCTTTCTGTTTCCCTCAGCAGTGGATGTCCTCAATCTTCCTGTCCTGTGCCCCCCTCTGTCTTTGGTGAAGCCTCTCACCACCCCTAACCCCCTCTCTGGAAGGAGCCCTCTCCTGTCTCCCTGCTGCTCGCCTCAGCAGTTTCAGTAGATCCACCTGTTCTGCTCCCCACTCTCTCTGATGAATCCTCTCACCCTTTGCACCTCTGGTCTACACTCCAAAATAAATAAAAATTAAAACATTTTTTTTTACTTTCACTTTCATTATCTATTTACAAAACTCATTTGCAAGTTAAGCATCATCATTTCAGATGAAGACTTAGAAAAGTGAAGTAGTTGCCCAGTTAGGTTATCACAGTGTTTGGAGTTTGTGGCCCTGATCTATTGGTAGTGTCTGGCAAATCTGTGGACATTTCTACTTTGAGCTGGTGCAGCCAGATGATTAGCTACGTCTGCCATGAGATGAGAGAGAACCAGGGGTAGTGGAACGTAAGTTGCCTATTTATCTCTTCCCACATTCTCTCAAGATAATGTGACTTAGGAGGAAAAATGTCTCCTCCCTTAGAGAATATTTCAGTCACGTTGGAGTCTAAGGATCTTGTGCCCGGTACCATCCTAAAAAGCCACCTGGTTCCAAAGTATGCAGTAGTTTAGGTGCGCCATCTCACGTAAGATCCCCCCTTTGGCCGAGCAGTGGCATTGTTACAACCCAACAAAGCGCCTTTGCCTGACGAAGCCTGGCCCATGGCTGGCACTGACGGTTTCCCTGAAAAGTGTAGTGTCCTCCGTTCTGAGTCATCCTCATTGTTCAGAGCTTAGGGGGCGAGGCTCAAATCCAGAAACGGAACAATGACGTGCTGTGCTCTTGTCAGCAATACTGTGAGTGACCGTGACATCTGGGCTTGAATTCTACCATGCTCTGAAATGACCTCTTATAACCTGACCTTCAAACTTTGAACACCTCCCTGTCCCAAGTCAAATACCACTTCCTGTGACACCTTCCATGACCACATTACCACCGCAGATAGGGTCAACTCATTGATTCTTGTCACCCCAGTCTCTGGGACCTGGCCACTAAGCAGGGGATGATGGAAAGGCCCTAAAGAACTATTCCAATGGAACCTTGCCTTGGGTCTACTCTCATTTTGTGAGAAGCACATAGTCTAGCCACAGAATCTACTAGTGAAAAGGCTCATAAATCTGGTCCAGCTGCTCAGTTATGGGAACTTCAAAGGAACAAGTCTTGGTGGGCTGCCTGGAAGAGATGAACAGTGGAATTTTAAAAAACAGCCATTTTTCTTTCTTTTTTGAAAGATAATGTCATTAAGTATAAAGGTTTAGGTTGATATTTTCTCTTAGCCCTTCAAAGATGTCATTATCTGTGGTAAGTTTTATCTCTGTTCCTCTGTACATTATGTTTCCTTTTTTCTGGCTTCTGGAGAAAAGGGATTAGACAGTGGAAAGGTATAAGCTAGGAAATGGTTACATCTGAAATGGTTGTCTGAAGGGGGCTGAGGAGATCTGTGTGTACATGGCCAGATGGGGAGGTCTGACTGAAAGAAATGAACCAATGTGCAGGGAGACATGGAACAGGCCTGACATAATCCCAGGAGTTTTCAGTCAGCTCCATCTAGTCCCCATGGTGTGGTTTTAAAGGTGAAACACACAGGTCAGCACAGTTCACGAGCTCCTGCCCTATATCCAGACAGGTTTTCTATAACATGGCCTTTCCAATCTAGAAGAACAAATATGTATGGTCTTCACAACAAAGCCCTGAGAAGTATATTTTTTTTAATTATTATTATCCTTGTGCAGACAACATTTTAAGATGCAATTTATTGATGCCTGTCTCTCATTTGTAAGTATGGTTCGTGCCAGACTGATTTTATTTTCCTGAATGTTGTTTCTTTTCTCTTTTCATTGTGAAGTATATTCGGTGCTCTTCGAACTGGTGCTTATATGGTGTACATTTTGATGACCAAAGGCCTGAAGCAGTCAGTTTGTGACCAGAGTTTTTACTATGGACCCGTCAGCAAGTTCTGGGCTTACGCCTTTGTGCTGAGCAAAGCACCTGAACTAGGTGAGTGTCTTGTCTCCTTCCCCCTATCCATTATAGCTACACACTTTCAAATTGACTTAAAAAGAAAAACCAGAACAAGCACCTTGAAGGTCCTATTTTCTGGATGGCAGAAGTTAGGATGAATGAATTGGGGTTCTTGGTTAAATTCCAGTCTCCTTTCCTTTCTCCCCACTTCCCTCTCTTTAAGTAGCTGGGCATTGTGTGTAGAAAGGGCAAGACCATGTACACAGAACACACTGATTTCCAAACTCTACTGAAAATACACTTCTAGGGTCTTAGCAAACCACTTCTCTTAGACCCTTTAATGGCTTGGCCAGCATCAGAATCCAGGGAAATGAGTAACACAGCTACTTTCCTGCCCCATCCTGGAACATAGTTCATCTCTGGGATTAGGATGAAAACTAAAACTAATCAGTTGAACTTTTTTACTCAGATAGCCTTATGTTCTCATTAACAAATATTATGGCTTGGTTTCTGTTTGATTTCATTTTAATTGTCAAAGAGATGGGCCATGGAAAAGAGGAATGTACTTCACCTCCTAGGAATTAATTGAAAATCCTGGCTATACTTGTAGATCCCTAAGGATTTTTTCTTCAACTCTTTAATGTACTTGATGATAGGTGTGACTCAGCTTAGCAGAAACAGTGAAGCATTAGGGAGCTGATGAGACATGGGCATAGAAGCACAAGGAAATTGTTTTGATCTCCAGAGAATGGAGTCACTGGGGACAGTCTAGTCTGGGTTCACCTTGGCCAGAGCTGAGCACCAACCCCATAGGCTGCCCTGTGTCCATAGGGCACATCCTCTGGGTTCTTGATTTTTTTTTAAAATATTTATTACTTATTTTGCATAGAAGAACTGGTCTGTAGGCCAGAGGTGTGTTGATGAGAGGACTCACCAGAGACAGAGTGGGGAGAACAGGCAGATCTACTGAAACACACTGCTGAGGGGAATACCAGGAAGACAGGAGAGGTCTGCTGTGCCATGTGGGTCAGCTCCCTGGCCAGGGCTTGAACTCAGGCTGTAGCAAGGATAGTGCTGAGACTTTATCCCTACTCCATAGGAAGACCCTTGATTTATTTATTTATTTACTTTAATCTGGAATTCAGAGTGTATTGCGATGTTCAGAACATATGTAGATTGTATTTGCTCTCCCATGTCCCCTAACAAGGCGGTTAGAGGTTGGGGTTGTATTATGCCCACCTCCAACAGGAGCTGGCAGTGGCTAGGTGCCCCCTGTTCCTATCCTGTGTCCTTCACAAGGGACTTGGGTCTCTCCTGTATGTGTGTTTTAGGCTTAGGTCAAAGACAGGGGAGGAGCTGCAGAAGGGAACTTTCTGGAAACCTTTCCTCAGCTGGTTGTCTTCATAGTCCAAAGCCACAAGTGCACAGAGCCAGCGAGTAAAATCTTAGGTCCGAGTGCACTGGTGATCTCATTAAGTACGTTTATAATCAGCCTTCTACCACAGAGCTGCCTTGAATAGGGGTTGGAATGTTATACTGATTTTACTTGGGAAAAAAAATTATTTGCAACACAAACTTTATGAGCCAGATTGCAGGAGACTTTTTTTTTTTTTAATATTTAAATTGGTGTAAATTTTTAGTGCAGAGAAGTGTTTTTCAAATTTGGAATAGCAAACAATGCCTGAGAGCCCAGACTGGATTTTTAGGAATTTCAGCATCCTCTGAAAACTTTTTCACTTCTAGGTAAGATAAAAGATTGTTATATTAGACAGTTCTTTCATAGTTAGTGATTATTTTTCTTTTTGACTTTGAGTCCGAGTTTCAAGGTCAAATTACTTGGTCTCCAATGGAAATTGGTCTGAGAATGAACATGGATACTCTACTTTTGGTGGTTCCGTGGCATTTTTCTTTAAAATAAATTTGCCATTATTAAAGTTTGAGACTTGAGTTGAGAAATAGCATATCCCCTGACTTTTCATTTATGCTGTACAGTTAGTATTTTTATTAATCACCCTGTTGGGGAAGGGGAAATTTCCTCTCTGAGTTCCTCTAGTTCTTAAATTTTCATCAGATGATGATAATATTCCTCATGGTTACCTATTATAATCTATAGCCTAGTGTAGATTATTTCATGTCATACATATGGGAACTCCAAAGGCTGAAAATAGCAGCCAGGTAGCAAGCATTAGCCTCCTGAGATACGGACAGGGGCAAGTGTCTGGGGTCACAACAGGTGCAGAGGGGGTTCACTGGAATGCAGAGGAGGTGGTGAAAAACAAAGGGTCGCCCCATCACGTGAATAAGGTTAAAGAGCTAATTCTTGTGATCCTTTTGGGCACAGTCAGGCAGTGAAGGAGGCATCAAGAGCTCTTCCCAAATCTGCTGGGTCTCCATGGCCTTTGCCTCAAAATAAACCTCCTGTCCCTGTCTCACACTCTGGGACACATATTCTGCTCCCTTGGTGTGAAACCTTGGAGATACATGAGACCTTGGGGGACTGAGTGACTCCTGCAAACGGCCCAATGCCACCATCTTAAATATCACCTTCATCTTAAAGCAAAGGTTGAGAGCCCGGGAAGGTAAGGCTGGGGTGGGGTGAGTAGATAGGGTGTGGTCATTTCCAGGTTTTCCTGGAAAACACTGGGGGTCACCTTGACAAATCCCCTACTACATGCAAGTATCTCTTGCAAATGGGCAACTTCTCAGTATTGAGAGAATCTCATTTGTCTGCTATTAAAAATGTCCATCCTGGCCCTCCCTGGTGGTGCAGCGGGTGAAAGCACTGAGAAGCTAAAGCCATTTCCGCATGAGTTCGATTCCCTCCTGCCCCGGAGGAGAGCCACATGGCGAGGCAGACCTCTCCCGACCTGCCCGCTGCTCCCTTCAGCAGTGTACTTCGTCGATCTGCCTGTTCTGCTCCCCACTCTGTCTCCGGTGAATCCTCTCACCCTCCGCATCTCTGGCCTGTACCCCAGTTCCATATGAATAAGTAAATAAATGTCCAGCCTAAAAACATCCTTATCCCAACAAGACAAATTTTGGGAAGCGAATCTCGGTCCCTTTCATCCTACCTATTTTCTTTATTGACATTACATTCATTTGTAGCGTGAGGTAGGTTTCTGGTGTCTGGCTCTATATAACTGCACTGCTGTGTGTATATATTGCATTATGCTCGTGCCTGCCCCCTCTCCCCTGCCCCTTTGATAAGAACTGACTACAGACAGAAACATGGTAAGGGCATGAAATGTGACTGTCCCTACCTACCAAGCCCAAACACTTGATAATTTCCCCCAACAGAAAATCATTCTTCAATCTGAAATGGTCCCCTGGGCTTCCGGTCCTGAAGCCTCCAATTGCTAAGGACAAACCTCAGTGCTCACTTCTAGAAATGTCCTCCCCCCCATCCCCAGGGCCACTTGTCCATGTTCTGAGTTGGGGCCAGTTACATCTGAGGGACTTGAGAGTGAACATCATCCCGCCTGCCTTTTGAAAGGAGTATTTTATGAAGAACCACCCACCCAAGCCTTCGTCATTCGACCACTGTGTATCTTCCACGAATGGCTGACTTTGCTCTGTGAGGCTTGTCGTCTCTGAGACTGACTTGGGGGGTTCATGGAGGGGACACAGCTGCTGACCTGGCAGCACAGAGTGGCCCCCATGTGTCTAGGTGGCCATGCCTGCCTGGGCATTTCTAAATGCAGGTCTGTAGTCAACACGGAGCAGGCCTCGGTGCCAGGAGGGGACTCAGATATCTGGGATGCCTGGTGCTCTGTGGGCCGGCTGGAAACTGAGCCCGGGGTAGGGGGACTAGGAGACACTGAGGAAACCCCACAACCCCAAAGCCCCACTGCTTACATTGGACCTAATCCTTCATGCCTTTGGCAAACATACCTAGTTCCTCGTCTTTAGTTTGTGTTTCTTTGTCACTCGCTACCTTTTGATAAGTCTATAAATACTTGGTATCCCCGGCTCATGACAAATCAGGTGTGGTAGTATGAGGTGCCCAGGAAAGGTAAGCCATTTATCATGGCCACAAAGACGTCACAGCTGAATATCGAAAGGCCCACAGCAGGGGAAGGTCTCGGGACGCCCTTCTGGAGCCCTGTTTGCGAGGTCTGAGGCCTTCGCCACACAGGAAGCTGGATGGGAAGGTGCTGCCTTGGCCCCTGGCTCGGGGACATGCAGCCTCCTATTCTGTCTGCAGGTCTGTCCTGCAGAAAGTCTTACGCGAAGGCAAGTTAATTTCATTCTAAAGAGCTCATGACGCGGCCTTCGCTCCCACCTCCTTCGGTTATACGGACACACATGTACCTCTCAGGCTTAACCTGACTCAGGCTTAACCCTGACTCCGGGGAACAAAAAGCCATTTTCTGTGCCGACCTCTGTGGCCTGCTCCCCTCTGGTGAGCGTAGTGACGCCTCTGTCCTTGCGCCTCCTCTCTGCTCACTGAAACTGTTGTCTGGACCGTTACGTTTTAATATTACAAGTCAAAACAGACCTAAATTTACATCTAAAGAACTTAAAAGAACGAACACTTATTACTTGACGGCAAACAACTTTTATTCCGTTATGGATTTTATGTTTTAGTTAATGCTCAGAGACTCATCAGAAATGTCGGGGATGAATGACTGACTAAATTGGTTTCTGATGTAAAATTCCTGGGACTTCTACCATGTTGTGAACAAAGGTAGACTGGAATTATAATGTCTGCGTTACAGCTCAAAGAGGGAAGGGAGGTACAGAGAGAGAAGGCACAGACACACCACTGCTGCCCTTCAGGATAGAAATGGAGCTACCATCACCTCAACCTGACATTCATAGGCATAAGATGGCAGGCATCTCCCAAGGAAGACAAGGAAAATTTTATCACGGGCTCAGAAACGCAGCAACTGGCAACTTCCCTTGTTTTGTCCTAAACAAATAGGAAAGAATAAAGGATGACTGCCCAGTAGGGAGATACATGAATAGCTTCTGCTCAGTGGAAGGAGATACCACCCATATTATCACTGCAGACTTCCAGATAGCCAACCTGCTTCAGTCTTCCCTTCCTGCTTATAGACCTGCAGGATAAGAGGGGCATTCTAGCTTTGATCTACAAAAAGAGTCAAGTCTGAGTTCACGGCAGATATTGAAGTATGTTGGTTTTCCCTTCTGAGAACCACAAGGATCAGAAAGGGGACCTTTGCTGCAGAAACAGGTTTCTTTCCACGTCCCAGGGTCTCCCCCCCCCCCCTTGAACTTGTTCATGGAAACGGGTGTGTGTGTTGCTTTGCTGCCTCTTCATCCAGCTTTACATCAGAATTGCACCATATGTGGTCAGACTTTGCAGAGATTTAGCATCGGCTTCTCTAAGTATAATTCTCACTTCCCTACCTTAGGAGAAGGGATCTTCTTCAAAGAGGTATTAGTAAAATGTCTGATAGGTTCTAGAAGGTTTTTCTACAGTTAATTCCATGACAGTATGTTCCATTCTTAACTTTTTTGAAATCACGTGCTTCATTGTGAGCCTCAAGAAATAGGGGAGATGATGGCTTCTTTTTTCTTTTTTAGCCTATTGTTTAAACGTTCCCTTTCTTTCAGACCCCCCTAAGACAGGGTTTCCACAGGGAACTTGCAAGATGTCTTTCAAGGGTGCTTCCTGTCACGTACCAAAGGAAACTGGCATTGCTCCTCTAGAGAGAACTCTGAAAACGGTTCGCTGGGCCCGGTGTTCTGATCTGTGTCTGTCGATTGCAAAATGATCTGAGTCGAGTTCTTCGACTCTGTTAGGTGCCACCTTCCTCCAATGCCCAGGCGAGTCGAAAATTGGACAACACGGCCTGTGATAGATATCCCCTCCAGATCAAAAACTGTGAAGCTTTTTGTGAAACGAAACCAAAGCTTTCCATATATGGCACTGAGCGCTTCCCATGCGCCAGAGGGCATTTTGGTTAGCCCTCTTTACTCATCAGCTAGTGATATGAGCCCCATTTTACAGATGAGGAAACTGGAAGATAATGAGCAACAATAACTTGCCCCAAGTCACGGGGCTAGTAAATACCTGTGCAGCTCTTACGACTTTCCACTCTCAAGTACCAGTTCAAGCGGTGGACCATCTCGCAGAGATTGTCCCGGCATCGCAGTGCAGGGGCTCACTCTCTCCCCCCTTTATCTTTCAGGAGACACGATATTCATTGTCCTGAGAAAGCAAAAGCTGATCTTCCTGCACTGGTACCACCACATCACTGTGCTCCTGTACTCCTGGTACTCGTACAAGGACATGGTCGCCGGGGGCGGCTGGTTCATGACCATGAACTACAGCGTGCACGCCCTCATGTACTCCTACTATGCCTTGCGGGCCGCGGGCTTCCGAGTGTCCAGGAAGTTTGCCATGTTCATCACCCTGTCCCAGATCACACAGATGCTTGTGGGCTGCATCATCAACTACCTGGTCTTCTCCTGGATGCAGCAGGACCAGTGTCACTCTCACTTCCAGAACATCTTCTGGTCCTCCCTCATGTACCTCAGCTACCTTCTGCTCTTCTGCCACTTCTTCTTTGAGGCCTACATCTGCAAGACGAGGAAAACAACGAAGGCTGAATAACGTTGGGACTGAGGAGGAAGCCACAGCTCAGGGTCATCAAGAAAAATAATAGACAAAAGAAAATGGCACAAGGAATCACATATGGTGCAGCTAAAACAAAACAAAACATAGGAGCAAACACAAAACCCAAGGCAGCTTAGGGATAACTAAGTTGACTTAACCCAGTAAGTTTATGATCCTTTTTGGGTGAGGACTCACTGAGGGCACCTCCTTCTGAAAGGACTGCTGCTGGAAGAACCCTCCCACCCCTTGCCCTCATCAGCTGTCAACTCTAGGACAAATGAGAACAAAGTGAGCCAGAGGCAGAGAGAGAAACCAGAAGGCAAACGAAAGCTATTAACACTACACGAGAAAACGTACTTACTAAGTGTTATATTTCTCTAAGGATCAAAGAAGTTTACTTAAACTGTGCAAGCACATACACACACTCAATCCTTTCTAATCTCTTTCGACACTAAACTGGAGCCAACAGAAAAGAAAAATGGAAGACATACAGGGTGTTTAGCTAGAACAAGGATGCGTTTGCAAGTTAAAGCCTTTTTAGTGAAGGGTAATTAACACTTGTCCCCCGTGAGAAAAAATGTCAGTCAGATTAGGAGGTGAGTTGGCCAAAACCAAACGGGGTTCACTGTTTTTCCAGGGTTCTTCCTGGGAGGACGGACACTATGCATCCCAGTTCCTGAAGGGACAGTCCATCTCAGAGCCTGTCTGGTAGCTTACCTAGGACATCTTCTCTTAAGTGAGTAGAAGTGAAGCATTCTCCTTGGTTCAGTCACCCCGGGCTTTGGAACAGAAGGGAAAAAAGATAAACCTCAACCAAATGATTGGAAAATGGGTTCTGTGTTACCAGAGAAAGAGGGTCAGCCGAATCCCTTGAACTGAGAGAAGAAAGTGAACCCCAGACCTGTCTCCTAGACAGACCACATGTATGTCCCTCCCCGTCTGACTTCACACCCGCTCATAACTTTCCGATTACAACCCTGTGGAACAGTCCATATTTTCTCTATTTTTGTGACTTTCAAACAGAAACCTGCAGGGCTCTTTCTGACTTTGGGTGAACACTGTGTATCTGCATCACCGGCATCTGCTCCCTGAGCGATGTAGGGGTGTTTAAAGTGCCCTCTGCTGGTCAAGTGGAGATACTGCGACAAACCCTTCAAGGCAAGATTGGTGAACCGTTAACCCAGCCCCCACCCTCCACCCCCACCCCGATTTAATCCTCCAAATTCTTAAGAGATTCAAAACCCTCCTCCTGTTATTGGCCAAATCAGAAGGCATCCCTCCTGCTTAGAGTCAGCTTCAGAAAATTTTTTTTAACGTAACTCTCACTTGGAACGCAGAAAATCAATGTATTAAGAGCCATATTCTTTAAAAAGAGAGAGCTAGATAATATAATATTTCCTGTAATATTTCAGTCCTTTACAAGCCAAATAAATGTGTAAACATTCCTAGTATTTCAAAGAAGCAATTACGTACAGTCATTCAATGTGATATAATAGTATTCTAATCGGTTAAGTAGCTTCATGATTAGACAGACGAGTGAAAGTTTAGGGGCTGCTGTACCCCAGCTAGCACACACACACGGCCACACGTATATGCACACAGATGTGGGAACACTGGCCTTCAAAGCCCAAACACAGAGAAACACATTTTCTAGCTAGCAGAAGAAAAGAAAAAAAAAAAAACTGTTGTTATCTTTCTTGCTTTATTTTGAGAGTGTACAGAAAAGGGATTTTTTCGAATTATTTTTATATTATTTTAGCTTTAATTGTGCTATCATTCATGAAACAGCCGCTCTGCTTCTCTGTTGGAGATGACAAGGGCTTTCTCAGCATCTGGTTTATGTGTGAAATTGAAAAGAATAAAGTTTTATTCCATTCTGAGTGAATGGCCTGAACAAAGACTCCCTACGCACCAAGTCATGACGGGTAGGAAGAAGAGGGGTGCCCGGCAGGCAGGGCCATGCGGCAGCGTCTGTTGGATTACTGGGAACCGACTGTTGGCCTTGACATTGGCTGGAAGATGAGGAAGGACTGGGAAAGGATAGTCCTGCCATCACTGCTGCTAGGTTCTCAGGGTACCAGTATGCTATTGCGCACTTTGAAAATACCTGATAACGTGCAATCCAGTTCTTTTTAGAAAACAAGCGGCAGAATTAAAAGGAGAACAAGGCGAAATGACAACCGACTGGAGTTTAATTGAAGGGCCAGTGAGCGCTCATTTTGTTGGCTTCGTTTAACTTTTGAAGCCACTGAGTGTTACTCTAACCTTGAATGCGGGCTAGGAAAGGGCAGTGAACATAGACCTTAAATAGATTAAATGATGCTCCCAAAGCACTTTCATCTTGATACAAGCTCCTACTTGTATTCACTTGTGAGCTAGCTTCGAGTTTTTGTTTACAGGTCAAATGTCAAATAAATAGTTTTAGCTGAAAACATAGCTAAAGGCATTTCTGATGTTACATCCTGGGAGGAAAAAAACCCACATTAACAAAAACAAAGCTCTGGTACAGTGTCTTCAACACCAAACCTAGTTATATCAAAGAGTAAGGCCAGAACACCAGCCCAGGGCAAATCAAAACATACCAGAGAATTGACTGCCATGAGGATTTTCCTGCCTCCAGTGAACATTCCAGAAAAACAGGCCACTTTTCATAGCTGCCACACGGCTCTAACAGGTCATCTTTCTATTGAAGAATCCCCACTGCATTCAGCCTCAGTATGCTAAAGACATTCCTGGATCGAGCGAAACCCCAAATTCTTCATAATATATATTAGATGTGTGTGTGTGTGTGTGTGTGTATGCGCGAAATTTGATATTAGATCTGAGTTTGCAACGAAAAAACATTTTATTGAGAAATGCGCTCTATTCACAGAGCAGGGTGTTTAATCTGGGTCTTGCCAGTGCAAAAATAAAACTATCATTCATGTCCAATGCCAGGCCAAAGTAGCAAATTAAAATCATATATTGAGGTTATTCTTGTAGGTAATTTCCCATCCTGCTCTACAAAGATCACAGGAGAAGGGGAAAGAAAGGGTGAGTCCTATCCCAGAACCTCTGCAAGTGTCGCTCTGGATTCAGCTAGAAGCTTCACTTAATGGGTTTTTTTCTAGCATTGTGTGGAAGAACACTAAGGAAGGAGACTTGACAGAATTTTGTGTTTTAATCAGATGTGGTATCTTTGTGATAAGACCTATTGCATCAGGGTAACAAGCATCTGTAATCAACTACACTGGAATGTTCCAGAAGTCTGGCTCATGCCCAGACAGCTGAATTACCTGAAAGCGAGCCTGCTCAGGTTACTCTTCCTGGCTTTATTCTGACGGAACAGCCTCTCAGAGACGACGTGTCACACACTCAGTCAGCTCCAGCAAATCCTGAACACTTTCTCCCAACTGGCCCCCGCTTCCAGAGAGCAAGAACACCAAACAGACGTTGCCTCCTGTAGCTGAGTGCTTGGAGTTCTGTGTGCATGTCCATAGCTGTCTGTTTTAGACACAGTTTCCCTCCCAAACGTACCATCGTGTGAAACTTTCCCAATGGAAGCCAACTCCAACGCTTCCCTGTAATCCAACCTTTGTTTTCCATGACAAATATTTTGCTGTCAATTCTGGGTAACAGAGCCTGCGTTTGTGCTGTGCGTCACTGTCTCCTGTAGCTTTTTTAAGTTGTTCTTCTGTCCCTTCTGTATTTATCTCTAAGACCCTATTCTTCGTGCCTCCTATCTTTTAAAACTGGGACCCAGCGCTTTGGGGGTGAGAACACCTCTGCATGGCGGAGGCACAAAGGCAAGGCGAGTTCCCAGCCAGGACACCGCTCTGGGCCGACAATCAGTATGAAGTGCTAGGACCCAGTTTCCCCATGAGCAACAGCCTCTGCTGGTTGGCACCCAATCCTTAAAACAAACGTCAGTGCAGAGGCAGCATTTTCTCGAAGGTCTGTCGGACCGATGGAGAAACGTCCCAGAGCCCCTAAGGCAGAGCCTACCGCTGAAGAGGCCCTTGAAGGGCCGCGAGGAGCATCAAGAACATCAGGCACCTGTTAAAGCAAGTGACTGTCCCCACCCTCAGATGCTCTGAACGCTCAGAGATCCCAGAAGAGGGAGAAGGTAATGTCTAGTGTTCCTCCTCCTAAGTGAGCCTGTCTTAAAAATGGGAACCCAGAGCAGGATGGAGGAGGTGGACACGGAGGTGTGTCCATGGTGGGGCTGGAGCGGTCTCCAGGATGGTAACTTGGTTTTCTGACACTTGCAGTCACTGGAAATCCAAGCCCCAACTGCATGGCCATGAAGTCCTCAAGTAAGTGGATCAAGGAAAGAAGTTGGTCCCACAGAACAGGCTTGACCGTATCTGCAGCCAGTGTGGGCGGGAGGCCAGGTCCCAACGCCTGTCAGTATGTTAAGCTGTGTTCGTTTCCCAGTGGACAGAAGCGTGCTCGCAACAGAGGCAGCCCAGGGCCGGCCAGGCGTGTCAGCTCCGGCTGGTCTGTCTGTCCTGACAGGTCCCCACTGGAGGCTGCGTACAGCTGCCTTGGAAACCATCGGCCCTTGGGAGCTCCTTAGGGGGCCCCAGAGCCTATGATCAGATAGAAGCCCCCACAGCGGCCTCACAGAGCAAATCACAGCACTGTTGGGATTGTTATTTTCAAGTGCTTATTTCATGACATTCAAAGAAATATTTTTTTCTGGTATATTAAAATTAAAAATAAAATCATAACTTTTGATTTAAAATCAAACTCTGTTCCTGGCTTCTTTTCTCTCTTGTTCCGGGCAGTTCAGAGGGGACATCGGGACACTGATGGCTTCAAAGCTCAGAAGTCTTGTTCTACACTTGACGCCAATCAGCTTCAGGAGCCGGTATGTTCCACTGGGAGCTTTGTAGGTTACGCTGGGGTGTCTGGAACAACACGTCCGACACCAGTGGTCCAAAAGCCTTCTGTTTAAAACCTGCCACCTGTTACGTACAGAAGTTTTCAAGTCAAATCTGTAGAAAGGTCTCTCTCTTTAAAAAAAAAAAAAATGTAGTTATTTATGCATACAGAACTGGGGTACAGGCCATAGGTGCCAGGGGTGAGAGATGAAGGTAGAACTTTTGTAATTCAGTCCATGTACTTAACTTGGAGCAAACTGGGGCATGAGGTTCCAGATGCAGGCTGCACCGAAATTATTAACCTCACACACAATAAGGAAAACAGAAGTAGAGGTTGGGTGCACCTGGTTTTGATAGCTGTGTCAGAACCAGCACAAGCAACAGCCATCAGAGAACTTCAGCTACACTCTCTTGCAGCACACAAAAGGAAGAAACACTACAAGCTACAGCTAACAAAAATGCTGTATATGTTCCTTCAAAACTAAGATACTCTAGCGTGCAAGCAGTCAGATAGGATCTGAATACCATTTCAGGAAGCTCACCCATTCTTGGCTCTTAAATGTTTGCAATTAATTTATCTTCAAAAACAAAGGTTTATATGTAGCACCATAAAGCAAGAATTTGGAATTCAAAAAATTAGTAGTAGACTTGCAAAAACCTTTCTAGAATATAAAATTATTTTATGCCCATTCTTGGACTCAAGCACATTCAGGAACAAATTAAGTCTCTATCAGAGTAAATTGCAAACCTAGTCCCAGTAATGAATTGATACTCTTAATAGCCACACTGGTTTATATGAACAATTTCTGCACAGTAAGAATAGTTCAGTGTTTTCTTCCCACCCTACCAGGTCATGTGCAGCAATGAAAATATTTCTGTTACTTTTTGCAAAGCCCTCCAAAGCAAAACACTTAGAAATACCACCAACCAATAAAAAATTCACTAGACAGCTAATAATTCTTACAGCTAGTTACCCACACAGAGCCTTCTACCTCTAGACAGTTGAATCAAAGTTCTACACAGAGTGAGGAAGAAAGTGAAATTATGGGTTTGATTCACTTCAAACAACTCGTAGATAAAAGTAGCTGGAGAACTATTCACATATGCATGAGCTCAAAAGAATGGCAAGCTATAATGGGGTGCACAGTTGGATAAAAACTTTCTCTTCAAAACATCCCTAATGTCTGAGCACCAGACTCAGTGACTTGGTAGTTTTGTTTTCGTTTATTTTTTTAAGGATGTATTTATTTATTATGCATACAAGAGCTAGGATGCAGGCCAGAGGTGCCACGGGTGAGAGGATTCACCAGAGTGGGGAGCAGAACAGGCGGATCCATGGAAATACACTGCTGAAGGGAGCAGCAGGTGAGACAGGAGAGGTCTGCTGCACCATGTGGGTCACCTCTGTGGCCAGGGATTGAACTGTGTCTGCAGTGGCTGTGGATAGCGTCATAGTGCTGGTAAATTTGTTTTAAATGAATTAGCCACACTGGGCGTCCTGAAGGGGCAGCTGAAATGACTGGAAAGCCTCCCACCCCCACCCCTGACTGACTAATAATTACCAGCCCTGGTAGGTCTGGGTTATTGCTAAACATTGGACTGAAGGGGGAGGGGGGCAATACCTGCTGGGAAGAATGGCGATGGCGGGAAGGGGGCTGCCCTGAGAATCCAGAAGCCCCACCTATGGGACCTCAGGCAGGAAAAGAGGTGCTCCGGGCCGGGAAACAGATGTGTGTGATCCACTACCCCATTGCACAACGTCACCTTTTAGGCTTGCTTTTCATTGCTCTTAATCTATTTCAAATTCGAAGGCATCCCTGGTATCTCACCTCGTTCATATCTGCATTATAGAGCATGTATTTGTACAGAAAAGGTCACAAGTGTGCGCCACTAGGAACAGCATTGCCCCTCCAGGTTAACCCTGTGCGACAGCCCCTCTCCACTCCCCATCCCCATCCCTCCATCTCACCACGAGTCAGTATCTTCAGAGCTCGGCGGTGGTGACAGCTCCAT